GAGAGAGAGAGAGAGAGAGAGAGAGAGAGAGAGAGAGAGAGAGAGAGAGAGTGTGTGTGTGTGTGTGTGTGTGTGTGTGTGAGAGAGAGAGAGAGAGAGAGAGAGAGAGAGAGAGAGAGAGAGAGAGAGAGTGTGTGTGTGTGTGTGTGTGTGTGTGTGTGTGTGAGAGAGAGAGAGTGTGTGTGTGTGTGTGTGTGTGTGTGTTGGCTCTCCAGGGAGGCTGAAGTGGGGAGCCCCATGGAATCACCTACTGTTAGGGCCCCTGGTCCCTCAGTTCCCCCGTCACTGCTATCTTCCAGTGCATGCTGCCTTGGACTGCCTTGAACCTCTAAGATCTCATCCTCCACCTCTCAGTGCCACTACCATGATGGATGTGAGTGAACTTGGGGAGTCTGCCCGCTACCTCCGCCAGGGCTATCAGGAGCAGATGAAGGTGCACACTGTCCTGTGGGATGGTAAGTGAGGGCAGAGTGGGGCACAGCTACAGAGAAGCCCTTATGGACTCAGACCAGGAGTGGGGAGGGGGGCACTCAGCTCGGGTCTGAAGGAGCACTCTGGCCTGACAGCTTTAGCCCTGAGGATAAAATCCCAGGGAGCCTGTGTACATCACTCTATGTCTGTGAGCAAGCCTCAGTTTGCTTCTCTGTAAAATGGGACAGTATCACCCACCTCCTGGAGCTGCCGTCTGTGGCTGGAGCCTGAAGCTTCTGAGATGAGAGTGATTGGTATGTGTGCAGGCTGCCTCCACATGTCCATAAAACCTGTGCTGGAGTTATTTTTAGTGCTTTCCATAGAGCCAAAGCCTCTGTTTATCAGGGACAGGAATAAAGGCTACTATTTATGACCCAGTTTGCTCATAGGACAATAATAACAATAGGCAATGTGTATCAAGTGCTTATTGTGTGCCAGGCCCAGAGCAGATGACTTTCCATGCATCATCTCAACAACCTGGGGAGATGGAGACCAGGGCCAGGACCAGCTTCGTGGGTGTGCAACCTCTGCAGCCACAGAGGGGCCTCATGCTCGATTTAACACTCTGCTATCACCATCTTGAAATTGTAAATAATTTCTTAACAAGAGGATCTGCATTTTAACACTGGGGCCTGCAAGTTATGGAGCTGGTCCTGACTAAGGCACTTGACTAGAAAGTGGCAGGACACCTGAGTCTGTGCCTTTAACTACCATGAAATATGGGCTCCCTGTAGCTCTGGGGCCAGCTGACCAGGCAGGAAGGAGCGTAAGAGAGACTTACAAGACCCGGGTTTGAGTCTTCAGTGAAATGGGGGAGGCAGAACCCACTGAGAATTAAGTGCCTGATATTGAGGGCTGCTCCATATGGGAACTAAGGACATGCCCATAATGTTTTACCTTTGAGGGACAGGCCCATAGAGAATGAGGGATTTTCCTGAGGTCACAGGGCAAATACAACAGAAGAAGGAATCTGAACCCAAGTGTGTAATCCAGGGCTGTGAGGGACTGTAACCTCAGTCAGGGAATCCTTTGAGGACATCTCTAGGGACCCTCCCAGCTGTGCCCTTCCGGGAGTCTGTGTCTGGAAGGATCTTTTCTGAGTACTCCTGCATCCTGACAGAGGGGCTCCTAGGAGGGGCACAGCTCTTTAGACACGATCTGGGAACCCCAGCTGGGTCCCCAACCCCTGGATGTGCATCAGCCTTTCTCAAAACCCCCATGCTCTCCCCGAAACCCAGGGAAAAAGCGGGTCTGGGTACCTGATGAACAGGATGCTTACGTGGAGGCTGAGGTCAAATCCGAGGCTACTGGGGGCAGAGTCAACGTGGAGACCAAAGACCAGAAGGTTTGGCTCCCCCTTTTCCCGGAATTAGCTCCTCCGCCTTCCCGGGTGTAGCTCCCGGCCAGTGTGCTCTGGATGAAAGGGGGTCTGGGAGCGTACAGGAGTCAGAGGCCGAGGTCAGTTTGTTCCTGCCCACCTGTCACCCCACCATACGACCTTCCTGGCAGGTGCTGACGGTTCGTGAAGCTGAACTGCAGCCCATGAACCCGCCCCACTTCGACTTGCTGGAGGACATGGCCATGATGACGCACCTCAACGAGGCAGCCGTACTGCGCCAGCGTTATGCTCGCTGGATGATCTATGTGAGCCATGGGCAGGGGAGGGGCCACGGGTGGGATGGGGCTGTGTGTGGTGGGGGCGGGGCCATAGTAGCAGGGGCGGGGCTAGAGCAAGAGGCACAGCTTGGTGGGGACAGAACAGGGGAAGGGGCGGGGATGTGTGCAGTGGG